GTGACAGTTTATGATTAGGAGTCCATTTTAGACCTTGTTGACCCATGCGTCATCCCTTTTTCATGCATAGACACATTTCAAAGCAGCAGACTTGTTTTGACAGTAAGTCTTTTATTTGAAAGGCTCTGTTTCAATTTACTTAGTAACTCACGCAGTCCTTGTTTTTGTGGATTATTAAGGCCAACCAGATGCAGTTAAGTGTTGAAGAAATATACTTCATAAAATGTCAACCACTGTAATGCTCTTTTGGTTTGCAGTATGCTTGATGGTCATTTATTATAGCTTGGGTCACTTGTTATAGTTGGCCTAAGGTGAACCCAAGTCTTCAGCTGTTCATGAAAATTAATTTGCTGTTTATTGGAATGAAAAAGAGATGTACAGTCTGTGTATTATTATTATTAGCTGCAGACCCTAGGTGTTTTTGACATCATTACTTCAGAGGGAAGTGACATAAAATCGGGGTGAAGCTGTTTTCAAAAAGAGAATGGATTTTAAAGACAGTAAAAAGCAAAATGTTTTTAGTATGGTGTTCAGTGTTGTCTCTCAGCAGTTCCCCTGTCTGTAGTCAAGGGGACATGAAACTGTGATAAAACTACAGGGAAAATATTTATGTTATAAGTGACAGGTCTTGGATTATAGAGGTGTGTCTTAGTGGAATTAATTATGTAGCTTTTTAGTCATTGAATAGGAAGGTAGCTTAGGGCATTCTTGACACAAAAGACACACTTTCTTTCTTGCCATTATAGAATAATAGTCTGCCTCTTAGGATGCTTGACTTTTTTTCTGCATTTCATGTAAATTCAGCTGTAAGAAGTTAAAAACAAATCAAGTTGCTTTTGAGGAAAAAAATAATCAGATAAACTTGGTAGATTCTGAATTTTTGGGAAAACTGTGAAATGTTAAAGGTAAAGTCCGCTTTACAATGGAAAGCAGAAATCAAAATATTTGGAAAAAGAAAGTGGTAATCAGAATTGTGTGTGATAGATGTTAATCCAATAGTTTGCTCTGTCTGCAGCTAAGAGCTTGTTTTGATGTCTCTGTCTCTCGTTACCACAGAGTTGAACTCATTTAAGATAGCAACTTCCCCTTAACGACCTTAATGCCCTCCTTTTTCCGTGCTGGGTCGCAGTTAAGCCCTGGTTTAAGTAGCGGCTGCCGTGGCTGATGCAATATCCATTTTCATAGTACAATTGGTATTTGTACTACAGCTGCCCCCTGGTGGCAGGCACTGACTTTTATGGGGGAGGTAGTGGAGTAGAGAAAGTTGGTTTGTAAAAATTAAATAATTGAGAGGTTACTTTAACTTAAATTATTCAGTTAAGCTGCACTTGAATAAAAATGTGGCATCTCTCTGATTGTTGAATAATTTATAAGGTGAAGTGTATTTAGATTGCTAGATTTGTGTATTCCCTCGGCCTCTCCCCAGTATTAGCAAGGACCATCCAGGTATATAAAGCAATGCATTTCCTCCCACTGCTCAGTGTAGCGTCAGCAGGCCAACTGTACACTAGTCTGCGCTAACTTCAGCACGGTGATTGGCGTCTCCAGGGCACGTAACTGCCCCCAGCATTCATTTTCTACCTGTATATTTGTATTGCTGTAAAGTCAGCCATGGAGTGTTAACCCCCCCCCCTACCCCACCAGTCCACCCACCCCCCAACCATGAATCCCACCAGTTCCCTAAAGTGTTCCCGTTTCTGCTGTCATGAGGGTGCCTTTGGCCTCCAAGATGACTGGCTGGGCCAGGCAGAAGGTGAGTTGGGGAGGGATGCATATTGGACAGTTTATTTGCAGTGACTGGTTTAAATGTGTTTTGATTTGTGTATATGCATATTTCTATTTGTAATTTTGTTTGATGTAAATAGTTTGGTTTTTCAAGTATTTAAATTTTTAATAATTTTCAGTACTTGCCGCCCAAGACACGCGTGATACGTGTGATGCCAAACACGCCAGCACTGATCCAGACAGGTGCCTCCGTGTTTGCACCAGGTAAACATGCACTGGACAACGACAGTGATGTCGTGGCCACTCTACTGTCCAGTATAGGCATTTGTGCCGAGACGTCCGAACAAATGATGGACGCAGTGACCGGTTTGAGCGGCAGTGGACCCGCATATGTAAGTTTGAACCTATTGGTTTCAATGATTCTTTCTTCAAATAGTTATAGTGATGTTCTAAAACTCCAGAATGTTTTATTTTTGTTTATCATTTTTTAAAAATATTTTTATTTTTATTTTATTTTTTTTTTTTTGCTGAACTTTTTTTACTGTATCTTAACATTTTGACTTATGAACTCATGGACTGACTCTGCTTGGTAACTTCCTTTTCTAAAACAAATAATTCATCCGCCTACTTGTCTGAAAATTAAATAGAGTTGTCTCTAAACTTTTTTTCATAGAGAGAACATTTATGCAGTCTATTATATATTAAACAGTGGAATGATTAGTTCCTATTTTTACCACCAGGGGTACATGGCAATAGAATCAATGGCCGATGGAGGGGTCAAGATGGGCCTGCCCAGAGACCTGGCTGTAAAACTTGCCGCTCAGACACTTATGGTGAGAATTTAATTTTTTTTTCATATATTTTTAACATTATTATTATTATCATTATTGTTATTTATTATTTTTTTGGTGGGTGGGTGGGGGGGGGGGGAGAGAGGATTGTTAAATGTTATCATTTTATTCTTCTTCTTTATGATTGTAATTTCTATTGCTTGTTTTAACATCAAGTTTTTTGTTTTGATTTATTTATTATTGAAGTACTAAGTACATATTAATGGTATAAAGCAGATAAAGTATGAGAGGACATGATAGGGACAACACAATAACCAGATATTTCATGTCTATGCAGGGTGCTGCTAAGATGGTGCTGGATACAGGCAAACATCCAGGTCAACTGAAGGATGAAGTCTGCTCACCAGGGGGCACCACGATAGCAGCAGTCCACTCGCTTGAGAAGTCGGGATTCCGTGCCTCTCTCATTGCTGCTGTGGAAGCAGCAACTGAACGATCCAAAGAACTTGGGCGTAAGGAAGAAGAGGGATCGTCACGGCAACAGAAAAGGATATGACACGCAGAAACAACTGCTGCTGCTGCTGCCATCTTTTGGAATTTTCAGTTACTATTTTAAGTTGATACATTGAAACATTTGTTTTATGTATTTGTTAGTTTGAAATAATATATATATATATGTAACGGCTTTCAGCGAGTGACCATGTCACTTTATTTGGCACAGCTCTCATATGCCATGAGTAGTAAACAACTTTTTTGTTAACAGCTTGCTTTAAAAACCAGGTTTAAATAATGTTTTTATTTACTTTGAAGAAAAGTTTCCTTGGTGTTTTTAACGTAGCAACATAAACCCTGTTAATTGTCAAGTTTTAATATCATCATAGTATTTCTATAAAATGTCAGGGTGCTTTATGCAGGAAGGTGCAAAAAGAAGCATTTATTTGAGACAAGCCAGTGTGTCCCAGACTGTTTAAAGGGAACAGCGGCCGTTAGAACATGCAACATGGTGTGGCTTTGTTGTCATAACGTGTACATTTGAGTGCGAGTTGCTCTGGAATCCAGGATTAATATGTTATCTCCTCAGCTTCTGAAGTCATTCATGCACTACTTGGGTTCATGTATGAGAGTCAGACTTAATATAACATTTGTTTAGTTAACATCTTTGTAATTTGCTGTATAATCAACTATACCAGGGAACACAGAGTACTTATAGGGACCATCATTGGGGACTTTCTTGCCAACAGGTGTCATTTTCAGTGTTTTACATTAAAAGTTGTTACTTGAAGTGAGGTGCATCTTGAACAATTTAACAATTTCTTTTTTTTCCTCAAAAGTTTGGAAACAAATTTGGGCATGTATCACACGGAAACAAATTTGGGCATGTATCCCACTATGTCCAACCAGTGGCAGTAGTTGTTTTTGAAGAATATTTGTAAAACCAACCCCTCTTTGTTTGTCAAACACTGATCATAACGTTGTTTGGATTGTGGGGTGTGCAGTATGTAAAGAAGGCAGACAAAGTGATGTTTCTGCAATAATTTAATTTAGGGTCTGCTACCAATGTTTTAATCAAGTCATTCAAAAATTATCAAAATAATAAACAACCCAAATGCCACATTTAAATGTGTAAAAAGTAAAATAATTTTAAATAAATCTGTAAAATGGTCAAGATTGCACTCAATGTTCCAGGGCAACCTGTTGATGATGTTTATTTTCAAATGAGTTCAACTCTCACTAGAAGATCAGTATTTTTCAAAGATGGATGAGATGATAGAGGTCTTATTGTTAATACACATTGATCTCTGGTGATTTGATATATTAGAAGTTGCTTGGTAATCCTCTGGCTATGTTGATCCACATATAACATCTTCAAATGAGGTGATTTGCTCTTATTAAGAGGTATATGTTTATCAAATAAAATATATGTAAAATAAAAGAAAGTTATTATGTTAAAAAACCTGCAGTATGTCTTATTTCTGTCATAGAATCAGTTATTTGAAAAAAGTCCAGTTCTTGTATATTGAAATACCTTTCAGCAGATGTTTGCAGTCAAAATTCATTTCTTAAATCTTTCAAAACTTGCTTGTACTAAATTTCGGTTCACTTTAAGTTTTATATAAACCAACTTTGATGTTGGAAAGAGAACTCCATTGTGACATCTGATAAAAAAGTTTTAAAAACCTTTATTTTTCTGTAAATAAAATTTCACTGAGATACCAAAAACAAAGGGTATTGAAAATCATACTGCATTCCCACAGTGAATGGAGGAATGGAAACCAATCACTAGAGCAATGGCGGTTTTTCCAAAGCCATCTAAGTGGAATATCACAATAAATAGAATCGAGTGAAACTTCACAAAATAAATGGGGGAGCTAAGTTGTTACACACCCATATCATTTGTAACATTCACTGATGATGTGACATTTTAAAATCAATCATGGCTGTAAATTATTATACAGAAGGTGACAGTTTCACTGCGACACAAACAACATAAAATGAAGTTAAACCACTCTTTACTGGTTGTATAAAAAATATAAAAGAACTGAATGAATGAATACTGATGGGATGAAACCTGTGAACTAAGAGAGAGAACACAGTAATATCTATCATAAAATTGTAAACACTAATTGGGAATAGTAAGCAGAATATGTGAATGTTGACCAACAATCCCAATGAATTAGAATTAACAAAGAGATGTAAATAAAGATATGGGACAAACTTCTAATAAATATATTGAAGAGACATTTAATAAAGAGACAGGCAAGTTTGGCACAAAAACAATGGAAGAGATTTTTTAACTATTGGCCTTCTCCCTGCTATATAAACTTCTAGATAAATTTAGTTTCAAGTTAATAATATTATCTAAGAAAAGGAAAATTTATTTATAAAATAAAAAAATCAATTTTAATACTATGCATAAGCTCACAAATGTCTCAGTTAAACAAACTGCTTTGGCAGTGGATAAACAGACAAGTCACCACCTATGTATAAATATGTATACCTGTGTATAAATATTGTAAGGTAAACTGATGCCCAGTTCATCAACCAATGGGACTTACAACATGCTCAATGCTCAAATATTTCAAGAAAACAGACTTTTTAGACACAATTAATGCATTTAAGACCTAAAAAAGTTACAAGTGAAAAAAAGAAAAAAAAATGCTGTAGAAGTTACCACATGCACCTGCCACTGTTGACTAGATCAATGTCATAACAACACATCTGATCAAAGTGAAGAGGTAAAAAATCCATAACTGCTTTATACAGCTGACTAGTTGATGACTAGTTGATATATGATTCCCCAGGGATGTAAAAACAATTTTTCTTTTAAATATGTAAATAAAGAAAAAGAAATACCACTCCCATCTATGTCATAAAATTAATGATCTACATCCTGTGACTAGTTCATACATAATACTGCTCTCTGTCTCAACAAGGTTTGTCTTATATACCAACAACGTCTGGCAGGTCTGCATTACATCATTCTTCTTCCACTACCTTTCACTGTGCTGACATTAATGTGCAATCTACTCAAACATGTAAAATATTTCAAATATTTAAAGTGACTCTCCTCATATGAAATGTCCTTAACTATGGTAGGGGTTCATCTAGGTATGTTTTAGTGACCCTCAAAAACTCTTTTCCTCATTTGAGAATGACGCAACTCAAGTATATCAATAGCAACAAATTCATTTAATGAGAACTTCATTATAACTTGGTGGAACTATTTATAGTGTGATTATATTTTATTAACTTGAATCAATATGGCTGATAGGGAGATGTAAATAAATAGCTTTAAAGTCTTTTAATATTCATCAGAAGAGGTAGGAAGGCTTGTATAAACAATGATACACCCCACTCCTGCCTTCCTCTCCTCTTTGCTCTAGACACAGGGTCTTTACAGCACAAATTCTTCAGAAACTGGGGGTGCACAGACGTCAACTTGGCCGACAGGAAGATTGGTGTCTTAGAAATTTTTCAGTAAGTGGGGGTATACTGACGCCAACTTGGCCAACAGGAAAGTTGATGTCTCAGAAATTTTTCAGAAACTGGGGGTCCACAGACGCCAACTTGGCTGACAGGAAGGCGTGGATTGACAACAACAGTGTCTGCAGTGCCGTACACTCCAATTCCTGGAGAAGAAAATTGAAAATTGTGAGAGTGTATTAATAAAATGTTATAGCATGGGGCTCTATGAGATGACTCCTGCATGTAATAGCCAGGTTAAAACAAGGTGATACAGAAAATAATGTGATACAGAAAATTCCAAGTGTATACGGCATGCTGAGAAAAGGGCCAAAGTAAATAACAAGAGTGTTTACCACATACCCTTGTTTCAATATTCTGTTTGTCTTCTGCAAAGAAGTTCAGTCGAAGTTTTGTCTTCCCATCATCAGACGATCCCTTCAGTTGGGAGAATTTGTAATTCCACATGAAAATCTGAAAGAGTAGATAACTGCAATGTGATTATACCACCCCTTGAGTTGAGAGAATTTGTATTTACTGAACAGGCAAAAGATAAAAGGAGTTAATATATCTATAAAGATGTGCTAGACATACTTAATTTTATATGCAATTTATAACACTATTTTTCATTTAACATACTCATAGATGTAGTTTAGCAGTGGGCTGGTATGGGTCAGGAAGAAGCAGGAAGCAGGGACTACAATTCGTAGAGAGGGCTTCAGGTTTTTGTTAAAGAATGTTAACAGCGGGTGATCAAAACTTTGGTCACAAATCTTGTTCAGCAGAGTAACTCCCTTCCCCCAGTCCTTAATCATATCCCCCTCCTTACCTTAGTTTCACTGTCATAGAGTGAGAAGCCAGCCTGAAGGTCCAGAGTCAGTCCACAGATTCTGTCTCTCCAAGAACAACCAAATGTTTTACTCTGAAAAGAACAAATACACATATCCATGTACAGGTAAAGTTATTATTACAGGCCTGTAGCCTGTAATTTCAAAAGGGGGATTCTTTTTCTGAAAAAGTGGACCTTTTACCATGAAACCTTTGAGTACTGAAAAAAATTTTTACCTAGCATGGACCTTTTCCTGATATAAAAAGGGGGGGGGGGGTGTCTTTCAAAACCCCTGAACCTGCACTGGCTCCAGGTCTAATAGTACTTAAATATTATTATGTTAATGTTTAGCCTCATTTGTTGCCTGGGAATAAAGTTGAAGATTTACATATCAAAAACAAAGGTTTGAAGCTAAGGAGGTTATATTTTTTGTTTTTGTTACGATGCTAATTTTCATGTCTTTGGGCAACACTATGCACAAAGTTATGGCTGGATTATGATGAAATTTTAGGTCAGAAATGGACCAAGTAAAAAGTAATTAGATTTTGGTTCATTAATTAATAAATGGTTAAGTTTAAATTAGTTATTTGTCTCTGAGTTCTAGAATTAAAATTAACGTCTGACTCTCTGAGTCTAGTTTACCCCAACATGTCTGACAGCCAGATAGTTGGCTCTGTGCCAAGCTTTCTCCAGATGCAGCAGCTGTTCTCGCGTCTCCATGCTCATGTACAGTCCGCCATGCTGCGCCGTCTGCACCACAAAACAGTACTGACGGTCATCTATCAGTTCTTTGTGCTGGAATGACCAATCACAGCAATGATGACAATGTGGAAGCTGACAATGTGACAAGGTGTCTGATTGGCTGGGAATGTTGTTATCTTTTTATTTTATAAAAGGGATAAAAGATGTAAAAACATAAATACATATAGAATCATATTATAATATAAGATTAGTTGAGATATTTTTATGACAACAATATGTTTTACATGTAGTACAACATGTACATGTTGAAAGAAAGTGTTTTTAAGTGACTTACTTTTAATATTCTGAACATAGTTTCATAAATCTTGTAAATCCTCTCACATCTTACCCAGTCTCTTGTTTGAACCTGAAACAATGACCATCAGAGTGCTTTATCAACCTGAGGGCGGGTACTTTATACTCTTACTATCAACACATGTGGTATATCTTCCCTTTTGTAATAAGTTCATCAAACTGATATAAAGGAAAAAAGATCGTATACATGTACAGTTGAGATAATTGTGAGCAATGCTTATTTTCATTTGTGCAGGTGGGAAAAAAATGGAAATTTACTTATAAAAAGATGGAAATAAATGGAGAGAATGACTCTTGCATTCTCTACAAAACATTTCAACCACATGCAATACCTTTAGATATCACAAGTAATAGTTGATGGTACATTTCTACTAACATGCCAAAAAGGAGCATATGAAAATGAATGCGGTGCTTGGAGACAGACTGGGTGACTTCAAACACATAAAACTCCTGTCACACATAAATGTAGTAGACTTACTGGGGGAGCATCAAACACATAGAATTCCTGTCCTTTCAGTGCCACAAACTTGGGTCGCCAGTGCTGCCACTGCCGCGTGGACTGCAGGTGCTCACAGCTCCAACACATGGTGTGAATCTGAAATATAGAGTTTACAGTCATAGCTCCAACACATGGTGTGAATCTGAAATATAGAGTTTACAGTCATAGCTCCAACACATGGTGTGAATCTGAAATATAGAGTTTACAGTCATAGCTCCAACACATGGTGTGAATCTAAATATAGAGTTTGCAGTCAGAAAAACATAGCATGGACCTCTAAAGGGCCATTCAGAATAGATGATCTGAGCAGCAACTCTGAATGGCCCTTAAAAAACATAGTTCATAGTCAGGAACACATTATTCAGCATTTGCCGATCTGAATATTGAACTGCTTCTATTAATTGCTATCATCTCCTGTGTTAGTGTGTCAGTTCCCTTCTGTAATAAGCCACCAGCTCCTTGTTTACTCTATGCTATCTATTCAGCACCTCCACGCCAGGCATACTCACATGTTCATTTGGCACAAGAACCTTATTGGACACCAGCACCTGCAAAGAAACATTTAAAATCCAAGTAGATGTTAGAGGTATAAATATAGAGTTACATGTATATATGCCATCTTTTAGCTCAAGCTAATTTACAGATTTGCCAACATCATCATCATCATCATCATCATCATCATTAGCTCAAGTAAAATTTCATCACCAAGAGGTAAATACTACAACCCCTGTAAAAATTTGTCTTATTTAACCTTCACTTACAGTTCTCAATCTTTCCTAGAACATAATGCTTTTCTCTTTTAATGAAAAATGTTCTCATTCTCTGTTCTGGGACATTCTGAAGGACTGTTATATTAACGTTAAATGAGACACATTTTCGCAGAGGAAAGCAGTTTGTTATACTGAAGTCTAACTGATCTCATCTAGTGCACAGAGTAAAGAGTCAACTCACAGCCTGGTTGTTGAGAACAGCAATATTGTTGGTGATACATCTTATCCACTCCGCCAAACTCTTCCCGTCCTCGCACTGCAGCGTCCCTGACAGGGTGCCGTCCATGGCGATGACTTCGTAACAGTTAGGTCTGCAATATTGGAATGTATAAAACTATACAGACAGACAGACAGACAGACAGACAGACAGATGTACAGCCATGGCAATCACCTCATAGCAGTTAGGTCTTAAAATATATAAATGTATTCTTTTGTAAAGATAGACAGACAGCTGACAGAAAGACAGACAGACAGACAGACAGACAGACAGACAGACAGACAGACAGAAAAAATGTGGAAAAACAAACAGACAAGTACAGAGAGAAATGAAGACAAAAGGGCAAACAAACAGACAACAATTAATTGATAAGCTCAATATTTAAACAAAGTTACCTAATAGCACAAAAGTTCATTTTGTTGAACTGATTAGTATTTTAATGTGCTACAGTAGAAATAAATAATGTAGATTTACATCACTGATAAGGTACAAAGAAAGCTGGTATTCACCTCATTTTATCTGTTCCTGTGATGTACTTAGTGACATATGCATAGAGTAGAGGTATGGACACCACTGTAGACCAATGATGGTGAGGCTTCTATAACAGAATATAATACAAATCATTTCATTGGATAACAGCTGCCCATTGTAGAGGTATGGACACCACTGTAGACCAATGGTGGTGAGGCTTCTATAACAGAATATAATGCAAATCATTTCATTGGATAACAGCTGCCCATTGTAGAGGTATGGACACCACTGTAGACCAATGGTGGTGAGGCTTCTATAACAGAATATGATACAAATCATTTCATTGGATAACTGTTGGCCACTGCAACCAGTTATAAAGAATTACATTATCATTGTTCTGCATGATGCGTCTCACTTTTGTAAAGATAAGTACATAATTTGCAGACTTGTCAAACAAGTAATCTGTAAACGAAGGAAATCCTATCAATTACGTTTGAAATTTACATAAATCATTTATATAATGTCCCTCTTGTTTGGGGGGGGGGGGGGGGGAGAG